TCCCATCGGGGTGGTGCAGCACAACTCCCCGGTCAGGGCAGGAAGCAGTGACTGCCCTGGCCCCAGCTGGATTGCCAGTCTGCCCCTACCACAGCCCTACTACCGCTGCCAGGCTGCTGATGCCCGGCCCTGCTACTATCAGCCTTGCCTTGCCTGGGGCTTTCAGCTGCTGGACCTCCTGTCCTGGGGTTCTTTTGTCCAGCAACATCCGTGGCCCAGCTGGACCACAAAGGTTGCTGGAGAAGCAGTGACTGCCCTGGCCCCAGCTGGATTGCCAGTCTGCCCCTACCACAGCCCTACTACCGCTGCCAGGCTGCTGATGCCCGGCCCTGCTACTATCAGCCTTGCCTTGCCTGGGGCTTTCAGCTGCTGGACCTCCTGTCCTGGGGTTCTTTTGTCCAGCAACATCCGTGGCCCAGCTGGACCACAAAGGTTGCTGGAAGAGAGAGTCCCGGTTTAGGGAGATGCAACTTGTAGCATAATGCTCAGATCTAGTTCTATTATGTTTTGATACAGATGTAGACCCTAATCTTGCAATTTATGCATGGCAGCAGACCAAGGTGCCATGTGGAATTCACTGAATTTAAATAGGTTTCTGCACAGGTGCAGGGACTTAATTTCAGGAACAGGCCATAACTTTACTGCATGACTTTCAAGCCATTTAATTCATTGTCACAACTTCAGCTCATAACTGGACTTTTAAATAATCATTTAGTACAAAAAAGAATAAGAATACTACTGCATATTCTGCTTTTAACTAATTCAAAAGGTGGCTTAAGATTGACTTTAGTTTCATTGACTTAAATAGAATGGATCATTCACATGCTTAAGTACTCTGCTGAACTGGAACCTGAATGACTTTCAGTGTGATATTGTTGATAATATAATATTTTAAGAGGAGGAGTGGGTATATATTGATAATTAGGCATACATTTTGCATTGCCAGTCATTTGTATATTAGAATTGTTCTTTCTAACTAAGTTCTCTTATATTTCAAAGTCATGCTGAAAACATATTTGTTAGAAGGATTAATTTTAGGGTACTAATCTATAACAAGTGGCATTTAAAATGGAATTAAAATCAGTTCCAGGAATAAAATTTTGAAAGAATCCATTGTCTTTGGATCGTACTAAAATAAATAGATTAATGCAATGGCATTATTGTTACATCGTTATTTGTAATTGAAATTAAAACATTAAAAAAAGAATAAACTTTCTATGGTCACTTCCTTGCAGGAAATTTAATGGGTAATAAGTAATACAGTTCATGTGCACAAACCAGTTAATTGCTGCAATTAGTTCATTTTAGGGAGAAAATATCTGTGTACTAAACAGAAAAAATATATTGCTCTAGACCATTTATTAAAAAATGAAGTCTTAGAGTTTTTATTTAATAGGCTAACAGAATATCTAAAAATGATCAGAATAGTCTGAAAATGAAATGTTTTATTAATTTTTTCCCTCTATTTCATTTTAAGGCTATTAAAGCTGATGAAATTTTGTAAAAGCAGAAGCATATTTTGCACATTTTCAGCTGATCATGGTAGTAACTGGGAAAGAGCAATGCCGAGTACATCGATGTCACCTGTATTGATATAATTGCAAGTTCTGATAGAGTGGGTTCTCAGGCAGCTTCAATTCCCATTGGCTTGAGTGAGAGCTGAAGATGCTGAGCAATGTGTGGGAAAAATTATCCCAAAGGAGTATTCCCATACCTATTCTGTTCCCATATCTATTCTGTTCCCATTTTTCCTTCACTAGTAACATTTTGTTCAGAAAGCCTGACTGACAATTCCTTTCCTACTGTGTGAATGCAGCAGACAACACATAGATTTATGGTACATTAGTTTAGGAAGTATCAGAGCAGCTGAAAATGAACACATTTGTAAGATAACATTATGGTTTTTCATTCTTAGTGTGATAAACTAAATGTTTATTTTTATGGAGCAATGAAAAATAAGACTGCTTGCGAAGAGAGAAATTTAAATTGGAATTAAAAAATGGAGAATGGTGGCCTGCTCTCATGGAATTCAGTAACTGTGCTCTCACTTCAGTGGGTCAGGAGGGCACCAAGTGCACAGTAGGCTTGGCTCAAGTGATTTTGGTCTTTTAAAAAATACCATTTAAAATGACATATTCCCCTCAGTTATCTTAACACTAATGAGCCTACTTCTAACATGCACAAAAACACAAGTATTTGTAGAACTATGGACTTGGTAATTTGTCAGTGAAAAATTCTCTTTATCCACATCTTTAGTTTATATTAATAATCAGCTTTAGTGACCTCAGTCCCCCAGATGGCTGATGTAGGAAGACTTCTGTGCCCACATGGGGTTCCTCTCAAAGTTTATGGAATTCTGCATGGGCTCTGGGTTCAACCTGTACCATGCAGCTTGTAGGATCAGACTCAGCGCTTGTTCAAAACAAACCAAAAAGACCAGTCAACCAACCAAACGAAGAGGACCCTTAACAACTCCCCTCCGCTCTGTAAGTTTTGTCTGTGTTGTTTTGTTTATTACAGTAGCACCGAGAGTGCGACTGAAATCAGATCCCTGTGGTGCTAGGCAGCGGGCAGACAGACAGCTCCTGCCCCAAGGAGCAAACTGTCAGACTTGAGCAGTTTGCTCAATGTGACGTACAAACAGCAGGAACTTGGTGGTGGTTTACGAACACCTTTATCTGTGCTGTGATTATTTTTGCGTGGTCTTTATTTATCCTTTTTGTTTTCCCTATGGGTGCGTCTACACCGCAGGGCTCAGCTCAATTTGCACAGCTTATTTCGAGTTATGTCAGTTGCATAGCTTATTTCGAAATTGGGAGCATTTAAGCTATTTCAAAATAACTATATCGAAATAAGATATTTTGAAATAACGCTATAGTGTAGACCTACCCTAACTAAGCACACATACGTCACTCATACCTAAACACTATCACTACAAATGCAGAAGTATTTGTAATTACAAATCACACAGTTCTGAAACATCTATCACTTGCATCAGAAAACACTATGACATAGGGCTGGGTAGCCAACAAAACATGGTGGCTACGTCTAGACTGGCATGATTTTCCGCAAATGCTTTTAACGGGAAAGTTTTTCCATTAAAAGCATTTGCAGAAAAGAGCGTCTAGATTGGCATTGGGGCTTTTTTGTGCAAAACGGTTTTTAGCTGTCTACACTGGCATATGGTGATCATAAGTCACTAACACTGTTCTGGTCTGTTTCTGCCTTGATATCACTGATAGACACAGGCAGCCTGTCTGATGCATCTTCAACTGCACTAGGCCATTCCTTTCTGCTAGTCAGGCTGGCTGGTAGGGTACACCGAGGCACATTCCATTGCATAAGGATTATTATTATATTCCTATACAAACACTGGAATACTCATTTTAGCTTACTTGGCTACAAGCTCAAGCTATTGCCTAAAAAAGAGAGTGTGGCTATTTTGGCCCTAACACAGACTCGGGGTAAACCACCTGAGTCCAAGCAGGCCCACCCCTTGGTTCAGGCTTGGATGGATACCTGAAGCTATGACCTGTGCCACAATGGCCATGCTGCTATTTTTAGGACAGTAGTTCAAGCTAAGCTAGCACAGGCCTGTCCACTATTGGTTGGAATCACACATCCCAGTTGCAGTGTAGACATTCCTTCTTCTTGGAGGAAGGAGTAACTCAATCTGAATCTTATTTCTTCCTCTCTTACCACTGTTTGTTGTGAGATTTACAGTAAAAGAAGCACTGGACTCTTCAACCATACAGCTTTTTCTTAGGGCCATCTTTTATAAAATTTTGTAATTTTAAAAAAGATAAACATTATGATTTTGGGGACTGGCATTAAAATAGAATATCTAGTTTCTGAAGATGTTGCTGTTGTCTCTCACATTCTATTCCTGGGTGAATTCTACACCAAAAAGTTAAATTTTTGCACCCAGTGCTTTAAAATGTTGCAAAAATCTGCCTATTTTATTATTTAAAATAATGCAATATAATTACACTGGTTTCAATTATTTTGGTAGTTTTATTTAAAATGCAGTACAGTGGATGGAGAATGAAATTGGAGAGCACTGGAGGAAATCCCCCAACCTGGTCTTTCTAATGGCAATATAGCTATCCTTTACTTCTAGTTATTAGTCAACAAATATATGCAGCCATATGCTCAGTCTTTAGGTGAGTGAGGGCTGGTGACTCAAACTCACAATTTATATTGACTACAGGCCATCTCCAGAAAGATCAGTAACAGTTCATGGACCACATTTTGATAGGAATTTTTTTCAGTCCAAAAATTTAGACCAGTTCTAATCTCTAAAGTACCATAAGCATTTATAAGGCCACACTGTCCTTTACAATAAGGCTCCTTTACACCATACTGGCAATGTAAAGGAGAATTAACATTTTTATACTCAGAGAATTCACTAAGAACAATGGGAACAATTCACTAGGACTAAGTCATCAGGCTGCTACATTCTGCACTGCCTAAAGGGACAGAGCCTCTCCGACACCACATCATAATCATCATCAACAACCGTGGGCTCAACGACTGTTGGTGTCCAATGCCTCCCTCACTATTTCCTTCCATCTTTCCCTGTCCAGTGCAGAGTGTCTTCGTTTCTGTAGACTAGCTCCATACCAATTTACTATATCATCTACCCATTCTCTGGGGTCTGCCTCTCCTATTCTAACTATCCATTATGCCCAATACCAGGGTCTTAACTTTTCGCTAGTCGATCATTCTGCAGATATGCCTGAATCACACATCTACATCCTCATACACACCCCAAAGCCAAGTATGCTGCAAGCACCGAGTGTCTGTTTCTCTCACATGCATGACTGCCCAGCCCGCCCATCCTGTCCATCATTCTGTGTCTCTGTCAGCTGCTCTGGGTGCCCAAACCAGCATGCCTGCACTGCTGAGTAGGAACTCATTGTCACAATCCCCGGGGAGGCATAAGGATCTTGACAAAAAGGGGTTTTTGCACAAAATGGAAATGGCCACGCTACTTGTTTTTGCGCAAAAACCCCTGGTGTAAAAACGGCTTGGACTAGCTTATGCAAATGAAGCGCAACAAAATGCTAATCAGTGCTTCATTTGCATACTTCGCTGGCAAAAGCCATAGTGTAGACAAAGCCTGAGAGAGACCAGAGGATCTGGCCAAGCAGGACAGAGTGGTGGGGTGCTCCAGGGATCAGGAATGTGGATGTCAGCGATTTGATCAGCACATCAAGGGACAACCCTAAGGCGGACTTCTGTGATTTTTAACCCATCACACTCATGACCGCTCTTGTGGTTTCCCTGTACTTTCTCATAAGAAGTCAATTTTGTGTGGGGAAGCAAAGAAATCTGTGGGGGCTATGGTTTCTACATGAATGCAGAATTCCCTTGGGGGTAATTTTTAAAATCTCATTTTAAAGAACCTGCTCTAAATATGTATGGTTTTATAATACATTCATGTGTAGGACATATGTGAAATGCCATATTTTCTATATTGTTGCTTTAAAATAAACGTAAAAATTACTTACAGTAATATCAGTACCCAAGTTACCGAACACTGACAACTACTGTTTGTATTTTCTTGGCCCAAACTCCACATTGATGCTTCAATAAAGAAGGAAAGGTTGGCCACCCTAAAATGGCTAAAATACAAGAAAATGCCCCTTTTGATTGTTCCCTGTTGCACCATGTGATTTCTGGCCAGTAATAATTTTATACTAAATATTTTGCCCTTTCTCACAAATTGTTTTAGTTGGTCTATCTGTTGAACATCTCACCTTAAATATTATTGTGACATTGTGTGTTGCCATATAAGGTGACCGGGTGTGTTTCTGTTGATTTTTGTTCTTTGCCTTAGCTTGGCTTTGGATCTTTCCTTGGGATTATTGGAATCAATCTGGTAGAGAACAGAAGGCAAATGGTAAGCAACAAAACTTTTTTTTCTTTTCCTTTTAACATTAAAATGTTTTAAAGGCTTTATTGAATGAATTTACCATCTGCAGTTTTGATTGCTGAATCCTGTGGCTTTTCATCCCAGGGTCAATTGATTTAAATAAATGCAATTAAAAAGCAGTACACATTTCACATTTATACTTTTAAGTTATTTTCTTAACGAAAATTGACAAAGCAAGTTGATTTGTAACTAAATAAAGTCTAAGTCAAAGTCCCTTCCAAAGCCGATGGCTCGTTGGGGTGACATGGTTAAAGCATGTCATTTTCATAGCCAGTGGTACACAAGATAGTGATGTGGTCAGCATCACATTCAACTGCCTTTGACTGCCCTAACCCAGCAGATCTGATACCCATTTTGTAGCCGGGTGCATGGAAAGTGGCCTTTCAGTCTGAGAAATAGCCTTTACACTTAGAAGAAAAAAAAAAGAGAGAGAAAATCCGGTGGCATTTTAAAGACTATCAAATTTATTAGAGTATTAGGACATACGCTTTTGTGAGCTACAACTCACTTTCCTCAGATACTGAAGAAGAATAAAAGGATGCAAAGAAGGCAGTATGACATCAGTGCTAATTAAATCAGAGTGAAGGTGAGAGTACCTGATTGGGAAATTACCTGTCAGGTGAGAATCATTGAATGTGTTTATTTCAAGTTGGGGGGTAGCATGGTGGCTTGAGCATTGGCCTGCTAAACCCAGGGTTGTGAGTTCAATTCTTGTGAAGGCTATTTGGGGCAAAAATTTGTCAGGGATGGTACTTGGTCCTGCTGTGAAGGCAGGGGACTGGACTCAATGACCTTTCAAGGTTGCTTCCAGTTCTAGGAGATTGGCAATCTCCATTAATGTGACCTCAGTTTAAGGTATCAAATTTGCATATGAATTCCAGCTTGGCCAGTTTCCTGCAGCAGCGTGTTTTTGAGGATTTTTTTGCCTGGGAATGTCAACTTGCAAGTCTGAAACTGTGTCCAGGGAGATTAAAGTGCTCCTCCACAGGGTTTTGTATATTGCCATTCTTAATGTCTGATTTGTGTCCATTTAGTCTTTTGCACAGAGACAGTACAGTTTATCCAATGTACATGGCAGAGTGGTATTATTAGCACATAATGGCATATATTATATTAGTAGATATGCTCATAAATGAGCCTTTGATATGGATAGGTCCTGTAAGGCTGTCATTAGGATAGAGGTGTGGACAGGGCTGGCGATGGGGTGTGTTGGAGAAATAGGTTCCTGGATTAGTGTTTCCTTTGTGGGGCGTGAAGTTGATGGTAATTGTCTCAGGTTGGGGAGTGGTCTGCCTCCCAAGGTCTGAGAGAGCAAGGGATCATCATCTATGACAGGTTGAGATCCTTGATGATGTGTAAGAGGGGTTTTAGTGGGGTAATGGCTAGTGGCATTCTGTTGCTTTCTTTATTAGGTCTGTCTTGTAGTAAGTGACTTCTGGGTATCAGACTGGCTTTGTCTGTCTATTTCTTCAATTCTCCAGGTAGGTATTATAGTTTTAAGAATGCTTCATAGAGTTCCTGTAAGTATTTGTCTCTTTCTGAGGGATTGGAGTAAATGTGGCTGAATCTTAGGGCTTGGCAGTAGACAATGGATCATGTGATTTGTCCTGGATGAAAGTTGGAGGTGTGTAAGTAAGTATAGCAGTCACTTGGTTTCCCGTACAGAGTGGTATTTATGTGACCATCTTCTTATCGCTGTTGGAGATGAACCCCATCGACTTTGATTTAATTAGCCCTGATGTCACACTGGCTTCTCTGTATCCTTTTTTCTTGTTCAGCATCTGATAATGTGAGATGTAGCTCACGAAAGCTTATGCACTACTATCTTAATACATTTGTTAGTTTTTCAAGTGCCACTGGATTCCTTGGTATTTTTGCTAAAATAGACTAACATGGTACCTCTACTAAATTTGTCCTTTTTTTGCTACACAGGAGGATACACTGTATCTATACACCTCATCTTAAAAATTATATTGCTTTCTTACATTTATTAAGACTTTTAATTTTTACATATTTTATATTCATCATGTTAGAAAATGGTGAATGATGCATTTCTTATTTACTAGTTGATGATTAATTTTTAAATGTGGTTTGTGTTCACCTCTATTTAGATGGAAATTCAAATTCAATTAAAATGTACAAATGACATTTTATTTTTTTAATTAAATGTAGCTTAAATGCGCTGGATATATAACAAGAAGTTTATCAGCCATGTTTTGCATTTAAAACTAAACAATTTATTAAAGAAAGGAAGTATTATCTATAGTAAATGAATTGAACAGGTTGTTTCTGGTCACCATGTCCTTCAAGATGTTAGAATTAGATCTCATCCTCTCACAATTAGTTTTAATTCATAGATTGTATGAGGAAGCCAGCTGGCTTCTTATCTTTGAATGAAATAGTGAAGAGAACTAGTTCAATAAGCTGAAATAAAGAAAATATTCTATCTGCATATATAGAACAGGCTACTGCAATCAAAGCTGTAATACCTTACTAATACCTTCTGTAATACCATGTACTCTCAAAAAACCCCAAACTCCGTATTTTCAAAAAACAAAACAACCCATGGTTCTTATTAGCAAGGTGGTGGTGAAGTTTCTCTGGCTAGTTCAGACAGGGCCATTATATTTATGTAGGGGTTTGCTGAATTAGATCTTACAAACCTAATTCAACAAACCTCTGCATAAATTATTTGCTTTTACTTGGGTGAATTGTTATTTAGGTATTTGGAACTATTTGTGTGAATAAAATTTTTCAGGATTGGGTCTCTAGATAGTGTAACAGCTTTTCTACTCAGTGCAAAAAGCAGATATGTGTTGGTGGCTGAATATCAGCTTTGTCACATATGCATTCTACACTACAAAAATCATAGTTAAACTTCATGAAATACTATTAATTTAAAAGGTTCAGACCTTCAGCTGTCATAAATAGGCAAAGTTCCACTGATTTTAGTGAAATTACACTGAATTACAACAGCTGAGGAACTGACCAATTACCTTTGTTCTTTTATGTATTTTAAAGCAGGTTATTTTTTTGAGTTTTTCTATTTTCGTTGTCAGTAAAAACTGAATTTTTTTTCTGTATTAATAAACTAACAGGAAAATAATTTCAGGACATATTTTCCATTACACGCTAGTTTTCATAACACATTTTCAAGTAATCCCTAATTGTGAATGTTTGTTTTGTATTTTCAAGAACTCTTACTCCGGAATCCTATATCAGAGTTGCCAATAGGGCTAATTTTAATTCCATCTAAAGGCAATAGAATGCTTGCCAGATGAAAATAGGATTTTGTTTTCATTGTAATCAAGATAATTTACTAAGTGTTATCACTCTTGATAGTGTATTACCTCTCAATTTTTCCTTTAATTCATCTCTCAGTTTTCCATCTCTTTTTTTTTATGCACAACAGGCAGTCAAAAAGCTGTAAAAAATGAGTTGAATGAGATGGTCCTTGAAATTCAGACTGCATGGTATGTTTGTAATATTCATGCAATAAGGACTGTGAGGAATCCATGCCATAATTGCTTAACCCCAATGTCAGTTTGTATATCTCAATATAAAATAATAAAAACCAGCCTTTTGGTGTGAAATATGCAGTGATAGAATAGAGAGAAAAAGTTTGTTGACTGATAAATGAAAAAACTGTTTAAGAAAATATCTAGAAGCCAATTAAACTTGTCTTCAGTATAGCCCATAATGCACAAAAACATTAAATGTTATCAAAGGTAAGGATGAGTCCTTAGCTTGTTTTTAAATAATACAGAAACAGTTTCTAAAACAAGAGGGATTACATCATAGGTTGTAAAATCCAGGGCTTTAATTACTTGCTTGAGTGTAATTTACGTGCATTCTGTTGAAAGGCTTGGGGGTAGCTGAAATGGGTTTGCAGCCATCATTAATAGAGGGAGTACAAAAGTTCAGATAAGCATGGAAATTTTAGAGGCATATTGTATTACTATAATGTAAAAATGCTTTATGAATTCAATCCAAGTAGGGAAGGGAAATGATTTATCAGTGACTCTAAGTTTAATGGAACTTAGTTTGAAATAGAACTTCAATGTAATTCAAGACTAACCCAGTGCTGAACTGATAATGGTATGGTCCTATCTAATGACTTGATTAATTTGTGTTATTTAGAAAATCATAACATGAAAAATCAGTGTAGAGTCAGCTACAGTAGAGACATTCTTTATAACTTATTTTTCTTAGTAAACTTTTGTTTTCTCAATGTTGCATTTATTTTTCATCTAGAACTGCAAGTTCAAATTTGTTTAGTGCTGTTAATAACTTCCTTATGATAATATACCCCAAACATTTAAAAACTCAATGCACAATATTTTAAAATTCCGCAAAATTCAGCATCATAACCATGTCACTTTTAATTATTTTGGTAATTTTATTTCAAATTACCTGTCAGCAGACACACACAATTTCCCCCAGGAGTTGATAGTTAAAGAAACCCCTAGTCTAGAGATTCCTTTTCAACAGTACAACACAGAACCAGCTCAAGCCCCACCCTAGTAATCTGGGAAAATTACATGCTACTGTCTGGGGGTCTTTAAGAGGCAATATTTCCTCTCTTGTGAGCACAGAATCTGAGGTAGTGTATTCTTTAACAGTAACCTTGCATTAATCAAGGAAAACAGCACAAGCAAGATTCATAAACATAAAAGGAAGGAGCAAAACATCTATGCCAGAGTATGCTGGGTCTTGTCTTTTGCCTCAGGTTTTTAATCAAACACCAAAGTTCTTGTACGGTGCCCCTTCGCCCCCCTTAACAGCCCACTTGCAGTTGCTGTCCCTCACCAGTAAAGACCCATTCACATCTGTATGAATTCACCTCCAACCATAGTGTGTGTGTGTGTGTGTGTGTGTGTGTGTGTGTGGAGTGGGGGAGGGGTTAAATATTAAAAGCCACTTTGCTTGCTTTGCCATCCAGTTACCTGCTGGCCATTCCCACTGGC